GTTTTATACGTTTTTATAATGAATATATTTTGTTTATCATTGAGTTTAAAATATAAAAATATTGAAGATGAAGAGAAAGAAGAAGGGGGATGTGTTTTCTTGAAGTATTCGACGTTACGGAACTATAAACCTAAGAAGTACTTTTGTTTAGTCACTATTTATATGTTTTATACATTTTTATAATGAATATATTTTATTTATCATTGAGTTTAAAAAAAAAAAAAAAAAAAAAAAAAAAAAAGGAAGAATAAGAGAAAGAAGAAGGGGGACGGGAGAAAGAGCAGAAGAGAAGGGCTGCTGCCCAATCGGAGGAGAGGAAGAGAGAAGATTGACCAACCAGAGAGAAGAGAAAGGAGGGAAAGAAGGGAAGGTGAAAAGGAGGGAGAAACCGGGTTTCCCCCTTAACCCGCTCGACCCGACAAGCACACAGCCAAATTCGGCCATTTTTCTGGCGATTTAAACCTTCCCACTACCTGCAACCTACTCCATAACCTTCCCTCTTCCTTTTCCATCCAAAATTTGAAGGAATTTGATGGTAATTTTAGGAAAAATAGCACCGGTGGGGGCGACGGTTCATGGCCAAGATTCACCAAATTCTTAAATGATTTCATTGAATTACCACCACCAAAATACTCCCCTGAATCTCCGGAACAAAGCCAAACAAGTTTGGGGGCGTCGGAGTTGCTATGGAGCTGAATTGAGGACACCCAAAAACTAGGGTTTCCGACGGGTTTTAGCAAAATTGGGGCTCTTCCAGGCCAAATTGAACTTGGTCACAAGTATAAAGTTTACTCCACTCATTGAGATCTTCATTCCTGTAAATTTTGATAATTTTTGGAAATAGTTGGATTTTCCGGGGAGTCGTGGCGGCGCATGGCCAGGGGCCATCGATGTTATTCTTAGGCTAATTAGATGCTTTAAGTTCAGTTTTGGTAATTGTATGACGTAGGTTGATTGTTAGAATCTAAATTCTCTACATTACGTTAATAGGTCATTATATGAATTGACGATCCAACCGTTGGATTGTCACCAAACTTTAATACATTATAGTACATAATATTTGAATATCATAGGAGCTTACGGATCGGGAATCTGATATACGGATCTTCCCGAATTGGATTTGTAAGTTCATAAAATAAAAGGTTAACTGCCACTTAGTCTTGGCAATTGGTGGAGATCCAACCGTTGAATCATAATAGGACTTTAGGGTATTGTTCTAGAGATATAATGTGGATCTTTGGAAGCAACAGATCGGAAATCCGTGATGCAGATCTTCTAAATTGAATTACGTAAGGATGTGTTTTATGTAAATTGTGTATTTTATCGGCACAAACTCTGAGATGTGATTTGATAATTGGCCACAGGCGACGATGGTTCGTGATGTCTTGTTATGCATGCTAGGGAGTCGTAGCACGGACCTCAGGTAAATGGGTCTTTTCCTTTTTATCGTATATTATGTGTGTGTGTGTGTGTGTGTGTGTGTGTATGATTGACAATTCCACAACGTTTATAAATTGCTTATTGCGTATAATTACTATGAATACTTTGAAGTACTAATGTGAACTATGAATGGCTTGATCCTTGTTTAGGGTCCGTAGGCAGTCTAACGAGACATTAGATGCAACCATACAATAATTGAAACAAAAACCTTGTTTGTGAATTGAGTAAGGTGAAGGAAATTTGGTGAAAATATGAGATTTAACCTTATGTTTTTAGTGATTGGGTATTGGTCATAAATCAATGTGGAAGGAATCAAGAAATTGAAATAAGGAAACGTAAATAATGATAATTAATTAAACTAGTGTTTAGTTGGACTTATCCCCGATAATTATTTTCCGAAAATAAATATTTCAGTAGTAGGGTGTTATAGATTGTGCATTTTACGCCACATTATATATATATATATATATATATATATATATATATATCTATGTATGTATGTATATATTGGAAAAATGCTATAACAGGATTGAGTATTAGATTGCATCATGGTTTATTTATATGTATATTACCTGAACCTAATTATTGTGAATGCTTTGAAGTGCCAAATGACTCTGCGGACGCCCAAGGTAAGTTTCAGGTGAGTATGATTGTGTTGAGATGTATTTAATGCTCATTATCCTGCACCTCAGTGTTAGTGCTCCACCTGTGGCCAGGGCCTAGCCTTCACGTGATCGTTCACCTCCCGCACCACACACTCACCTTGGATCCAAGGTAGGTGTCAACCTGTCGTACAGACCACATTAGGTGGTTCCGACTCGTAGATGGCTTGCGATACTTCGCACAGCCTTCACGTGATCGTAGCACTTGAGCATATTTATTTACACCCAGTCTGTCGTCCAGACCACTTTAGGTTGTTCCGACTCTTGTGCAGGATTTGGTAGATGAGCTAATTGATGAGATATGGATAAGTCACATAGGTCACTTTAGGTGACTCCGACTTATATGTTATTCATGATTGATGAGATATGTGATGAGATATGGATAGTCGTACAGGTCACTATAGGTGACTCCGACTTATGAGCTAGAATATGTGATGAGTATGGATAATCGTACAGGTCATTATAGGTGACTCCGACTTATGAGCTATCATTTATTTATGAGATATAATTGCAGTCGTACAGATCACCACAGGTAACTCCGACCGGCGTGCTAGTATGGGTTATTAAGCACTTGTTTATTTATATTGTTAATAAGATGTTGTGATGTGATATACTTCTGGATGTAATGTTAGTATACTTTTGATTTCATGTTTATCCGTAATATGATTTTCTGAAAGCTAACATGTGTTATGGTGAAGGATTATATTGTTGAGAATACTTTTATTAAAACTTTATTTTTTGGCCTCATTCTTGTTTTATCCCTCTAGGTCTAGTAGCGAAGCTTTCGTGTCGACGAAGATTTGTGGCAAGTCTTGGTATTGGAGATTACCTTCAATGGTATGATTTTCAATCCACTATACTGTACTTTGTTTATGCTCTGACGTGCCGTGTGAAATGGGTTTATTTCCGCTCACGGCGCACTCTTGTATTTAGACACTTTTAGGTTTAAATTTATTCACTTTTTCCACATCATCACACTTTATGGCTTCGTCACCTTCCAGGTGTCAGCCAACACAACTCAATTCGGAGTCCTAGTGGACATTCCGAGTCAGGATGTGTCATTTGTTCTCTCTATATGTGCATTATAAAAGTCCTTATAAATATCCCACGGTTTCTTAAAACAATATGTTTCACATATAAAATGGAAGGGCAAATTTCTAATGTGTTATTCTGTTATTTGATGAACTATTGGGCTAATGAGTAAAGACACGTGCACATCACAGATCTTTAAGGGAACGAATCTCCATTTTCTTTTTTTAAATGGAGATTAGTTGTAAGGCGCACACTATATCAAACTTCAACAATCCAAACCATTTATTTTTCAAGTTGTACCTCTTAGATCATCCGTACAAAATATTAACCAAATTGAAAATATTTGAAACATCTAACTGAGTTTAAAGAAATTGACGAACACTTCATTATATAAGAAAAAATGAAATTCCATTGTTATAACTAAATAGGCAAATGGTTTTAGATTGAATTGAATTTTTACAAGGATGATCAATGAATCGGGACTAACAAAATAGACAATTCAAATGTTGAAGTTCGATGTATAGTGGGTCCCACAATTAATTCTTTTTGAGTGCTATTAGACCCACCCTAGTGTCTTATTTTCTCACCCACATTATAATCCCACCCATCATAGAAAATTAAAAAAGTAAAATGTTATTTCCCCACCCACCATTATTCCCAAAATAACCATAATATATTTTTTTAAATGACTCCAATATATATTTAAATAATATTATAAATAAAGAAATAAAAATAGAAAAAAAATGAAAAAAAATGCAAGACCTAAGACTAGACATTCATCATATCCTTTACACCTAACGCCGTCCTGCAGAGATTCCGGATCCCCAAACCACTCTTCTTCCTCTTGCAAATCTCACACCCAATTCTCTTTTTTCTCCATTGAAGTTTCTTGCCTTCATCTAGCACATACCCATTCCTTCCTCCAACCTTTCCATTGATTCTAACCCAATTCTTTCCCAACCTCTTTCCACCAAAGATATCACACTCCACCCACCATTATTTATTTATTATTTTAAATTATTTTTTGTTTTTTCAAAATTTTAGTACTGAATTAAATAGGGGTTTAAGAGTCTTCTTTTAAAATGATAAATATGTTATTAACATTTTCATTAAATGGTGGGTGGGTGGGGAAATAAGACACCGGGGTGGGAATATCACCACTCTTTTTTTTTTTTTTTAATGGAAATTCCTTCTCTTAGACCATTTCCAATGGTTGGGCTAAAAGTCAAATATTTTAGCCCAAAAAATTTAGCTTTTAGCCCAGAAACAACTTTTCTGCTCCAACCGTTATAACCTAAAATTTTAGCCCAGGATTATTAAAGAATGAACTTAGGCTATTTTTTTTTGTTAAATTAAAATTTTTTTTAAAAATAAATATGCAGACTATCGTAAATTAATTTTATGAACATTTTAATCTAAAAAAATTTAAATTCCGATAAATATTCGGTGAAGTCCACTCTGATTTCTGGGCTAAATTTTAAGGGGAATTTGGCCTTGGTTTAGCATTTAGCATTTAGCCCAAATTTTCCCCTTGGGTTAGAGTGGGTTTGGGGGGTAATTTGGCTTTTAGCCCACCATTGGAGTTAGTCTTAAAGGGCCTGTTTAATTATGTATTACGCTAAAAGCCACTGAGTTTCAAATTCTCTTTTCAACCTAGGTTCAAGACTAATCCCTTGAGAAATTGCCTAACCCAAAAAATGAAAAACAAACTAACGCTGGATTTGGTTTCAGCTGTTGCATTGTAAATGTACTCTTTGAACTACAACGCATTGCTTCGTATCTTATGAACATGTCAAAAACAACCAAAAATGCTGTTTCCTTTGCCTTTCTAAATTGAATCCGAAGACGAAAAAAACACCCAGTGAATCAAATGGAGTCAGTTGCTATGCCATTAGACAATGAGCGTCTTCTTCTCTTACTTACCAAGTAAAATCCAAGCCCTCCAAAAACAAGAAGAATAATCAATCCATCAACCACTCCTACCAAGATCAAAACCCATTTCTTCAAATTTGACTTCCCATGACCCCCATGACCTCCCTTTGGAACCTTCACCATATAACTCAATAATCCGCTTCCCTTATTCTCAACCTGTTTAACACCAATTACCATTCCATAAACAAAGCACCCTTTTGCAGAAGAATACAATGCAGCTGTGCAATTACAGTCCTCTAAGCACAAATCACCACATGCTTCTTTGCTCACATTAAAACTCTTTGTAGCGCCCCTCAAAACACTGCTAACACCCTTCAATTCGAGCATCTCCGCCTTCATTTTCTTCCTGCTTTTGCAAAACCCTCTTGATGAAATTCCTCGACCGCAATCAGAAGCTGTTGTACTAGTACTAGTACTTGTCTCATTTTTGGTCATCAAAAGTTGAATGCATGAACAAGTGCCGGACAATGTACAAACTCCGTAGGGCTTACACGCCAATGGAAGATCACATGTGGTGTTGAGCGCTTGAAAAGAGGCATCAAATTTCGACATGCTAGGTGAGTAAAAATAGAGCCTCAAATTTCCTGTTTGGTTTTCCAATGCTAAAAACCTCATGGGCTGAAACTGAAAATTTTCATCAGATGGATGTATCTGTGCAATTTTCTTTTGATTATAACTGAATAGCTCTAACCCTTTTGGACCCAATTGAATATAAGCAATGTTTCTGTTCTTGGTGGGCTTGAATTCCCAATAGGAATAGTTCCATTTACCAGAATTTAAGTAGAGAGCAATCCTGCTTGGTTCAATTTCAAGAGAAAAGTATGAAGTGGGGTTACTTGGGAATGAAGTCAACCTAGAAGCGACACTTAGTCTCTGACCCGAAAGCATTACATCAGTTGGAAAATTAAAACTCTGCCACTTTATATTGCCTAATGCATCAACTAGAACTAGATTGCCTGTCCTCAACATCTGTAATCTCTGCACCAAATTGACAAAAAAATATATATATTCAGCATTGATCAAATATTTTACAAACAAAAGGTAGCGGTTTTGACACTCTGTGTTAACCATCTACATTCCAAATTGAATACTACAATTTTTGAGAAATGGTATTCGCCTTTCCATTGCAGTCCTCCTTTTGTTTATGTCCCTTAAATCTCATTTGATTTATTCAATACAATTTTCTCATAAAAATGAAGCAGGAGTGCAAGAGAGAAAAATAAAGTACGAAAATCATTTCCCTGTTGTTATACGGACTCACATGAGAAAGGCATGAGGGTAAAAGATGAGCATTAAACTTTAACCGTATGCATACTAACTGAAAGAGTGCACGAGGCACAAAGATGAATGTTAAAATCACTAGCGAAAAATTAACATTTCTTCGTTGTTTTTTGGTATAAACTTACCTGCACACCTTGTCCAGAAGTCCCACTTCTCCATCCAACTCTATCTTTTGGGCCCTTCAATCTCAAATCTCCGTCATGGGAGAGCTCAAGAACACATATATTTGAAGTGTAAAACTTTGAGTAATGGCCAGAACTCCACACCTTGACATCTCCAAGAAAGACTTGCAAGGAACATGAGTACTTTCCAACCACATCTTCAACACTCATTGCTACTTTAAAACTTGGTTTGGTTTCATTGTTCTCCATCAAAAAAGCTCTCCCAATGAATCCCACACTGTACTCAAATGGCACTTCCAGAGTGAGCTGGTATCCGAGGGGAACATCGGTTTTCGAGTAGCCGTAAGTGAAGAAAATGGTGAGAGAGATGAAGAAGTAGAGCTGCATGAGTGAATTGCAGGCTCAAACTTCAAACATTAAGGCCTTTTTCTGGCAGGAATTTTATGAGAGACAGAGAGGGGGAAAGGTGGGCATGAATTGTGGGACTTCTGGTAAAAGGGTTTGAGCTGTCATTTTTTGGTTTGTTATTTGTGTGGGGGTGTAGTGGGTTTGAGCTTTCACTTTTTGGAATTCAAATCCTCTCCGGATCTTGCAGTCTGACATCGACGAACTGAGTAATCCAGACCGTTTAAGAGAGGGAGAGAGATTCAGATTATTAGTTTGTGTGAGGTGGGCTAATAAGATGAGCTAATGGGGACCGTTGAATTTAACATGAGTGGTAAGATTTTCTCGATTTATCGACTCCACACTGCACGAAGTGTTAAAGATCTCAATTCCTAATTTTGTACTCTATTTAGTAGGTCTCTTGTTTTAAGGAAAAATCACTTGCTAAATACAATGAAAATTATCAAATACTTGACATAAATTTGTAATCTAACAACTTAACATGTTTGTTTTTCCAAGAGTCAAACCTCAAAATCTGTTCAAAGACTTAACAATGAAACATAGAAAGTCAAAAATACAAGTAATCAACGGAATTAAAGAAACAAGATCTTAAAAGTCAAATATATGAATAAGGCATATTGAGGCAACATTATTGGTGATGCACGCAACATGATAATAAGACTGAAGGTGAAGGAATACAACAAAAAACTTGAGGGCAAAAATTAAAACTGGTAAAGTTTTAATTAAGAATTCGTTTTCAGCCTTTTACTTTTGATTCTAAGTTTTTTTTTTTTTTTTAAATTAAAAATTTGTTTGGTAACTACTTTGAACTTTTAAAAACAATAAAAACTAAAAACTACTTGAGTTTTCAATATTTAGTTTCTGGTTATCATATTTTATTTATTTTTACTGAATGTAGTGAGAAAGTGGGATTATAAATTTTTCGCGTGTAGTGAAATGGAGAATAAGAAAGGGATGAGGAAGTGTGGAGCCCATAGAATAGTGATGTGGACCTGGCCCATCTAAAAGCTTTTGGGGATCAAATGAGTGCCATTACCCGTAGTGGGCAGCAGGCCAGGCCCGCCAGGGCGTCTTATATTTTGTGTATTTGCATCATGAATAACATGAAGCCTCCTGCCGTGTGTGCGATCATTATGCTCTCCACGCTTTGCCAACTGACATTGTTCTCGCCCCACATTGACATGCAGGGTTCCTTGTGGGCCGAACCACTTGGGCGCTTTTGGGCTTCATTGAGCAACCTGACCGGAGACAAATCCAGTTCATCTGAACCGGCACCGCCGATGGACTTAACTTTTAGATTAAAACCATGAGTAAGATCAAAATCTAATTTTAGTTCCTTGATACATTAATAACCTCATTTATTAATTATATTTTTGATTTATTAATTATTATTTATTTTCTTCCTAATTTTTAATGTATTAATTTTATTTCATTATAATTTTCATTTTCATTTCATTTATCGTAATATATTTTGTTATAAACATTTAGATAAATTAGTTTTTGTTACACAATATATTTCGATGTACTTTGTCATCTTCATTTAGGTACATTAAATTCATTATAATACATTTCAGTGCATACATTTAGGTACATACAGTTCGATACAAATATTTAGGTACATTAATTCAATATAATACATTTCAATACTAACATTTCGGTGCATACATTTACGTACACACATTTAAGTACATTGATTTAATATAATACATTTTGGTGCATATATTTTGATACATACATTTCAATACTAACATTTAGGTACATTAATTAAGTCTTTCAATTTGAAGAATGTTAAATAAAATTAATAAATTAAAAAAACTCTTTTTTAGTAAAAAAAAATAAATTAAAATTTGTATATTAATAAATTTAAATATTTAATGGGAGACATTAAATAAAATGCATATTAATTATTTTGAATTAAGGACACATCAAGGGATTATAATCAATATATAATCTAACTCCAATTTTATTTTAAATTTCAATCTTTTTAAAGGATTAAAGTTATAAAATAAAATAAAAAATAAAATAAAATAAAATAAAAAAAAACCCCTTTTCCTAAATAAATTATCTTTCCTGTTCTTTAAACTAATAGGTGATCAGCTGTGGCTCTTCTTCGAATGCATATGCTGGTGTTGGGAGTGGAAATGTCGGAAACAAAAACAAAAATTGGCAAATGATAAGGGTTGGAAGGTTTTCAATTGATTACAAGATTTCTGATGTCCCATCTGGTATTAGATCAACGCAACTTGTTCCTAAGTCTGCATTAGATCCTACTGCACTGCTACTCTCTCAGTTATTTTATTCATATCAATAAAAGGAAGTATCGAATTGATGTAAGATCAAAGCTAGTTAATATGGAAGATGCTGCTACAACTTCATGCTCTAAGAATGTAAGTAAATTTCCACATGAAAGCTCGAATATGTCACTGTCAAAGCGAGAAGGACACATATTCATCTTTTCCTACAGAATTTGGGGAAAGAAAAAAAAAAAGAATGCATGGCTTCCCAGAAAAGTCTCGTTATGTACCAAGAAATATGATGAACTGCTTTGCACCTAAAGCTTGGCATGCAAGAAGTATAGAAAACCAGAATGAAGAAGAAATGGTGGAATTCGAAAATCCAGAAAATACAGAACTCACAAGTCCAAATAGTACTACTGAGGTCTGGGACGATATTGTTGAAATTTTTTGTCAACCTCAGTGAACAGGTTTTGCGTTTTTTCCCTTCTAAATCTAGATTAGCAATTCTAGATCAGATAAGTACGTAGTCTCGTAAAGCATCAATTTCCATTCATGATGTGCATTTGATCAGCGATATAGATTATGGACATAATATTAGTAGTGTATTTTGTTTTCCAAAACCATTACTGATAATTAGGTTTTGATGATTCTGGTCTGGTCTGTCTGTGGTGACACATTTTGCAGTTTTTTGAAAGCCGATTTTTTTAGATTCTTTATACTGCAAATTTGTTACTAATGCCTTGGTAACACTTAAATTTATAGGTTGAAATGGTGAAAATGCCGGGAGATCGATGTAGGTCCTGGAGCTTTTTATCGGCCAGGTTACCAAGATGGAGCAAAACTTCGTCTACAGATGATGTGCCTTGGCTGGGACTGGGATCCTCAGACAAGAAAATATGGAGATAGGCGAACAATAGATGGTACTTGGCCTCCTGGTATTCCTGAAAAATTTAGTTCGTTGGTTAAAAGAGTGATTCGAGAGGCGCATGCCCACGTTAAAGAGGAACTCAGAGTTAGTAGAGCAGAAGAAATACTCCCTTCAATGTCTCCTGATTTATGTATTGCCAACTTTTATACAACAACTGGCCAACTCGGTCTTCATCAGGTATATGTGCGTTGCAGGATTTACTCAAATACACTTTCAATAAAACCAAACGTATATGTGCGTTGCAGGATTTAGAATCTATGTAAATAGCACTAAAAATTACATTTACACATCAAAATTATGTTGTTTTCTTCAATGCTGTTAATTTTGGTTAGTCATATTCTTCAATTTGTATCACTTTCCACCAGTCCCAATTGTTCTTGAAGGCAACAATTATTTTTTTATACTTATTTGGTGATCAGACGAAGTTTTGATTTTCAGAATCGCGATGAAAGCAGAAAGTCTCTCCGAGAAGGATTGCCTGTCGTCTCCATCTCTATAGCTGATTCAGCAGACTTCCTCTACGGAGATGAGAGAGATATTGCAAAGGCAGAGAATGTTGTTTGGAATCAGGAGATCTGCTGATATTCGGAGGTCGTTCGACTCATTTATTTCACGGCGTGACATCGATCCTACCGGACTCAGCTCCAACGAGTTTGTTGGAAGCAACTAGCCTTCGTCCCGGCCGCCTTAATCTTACCTTCAGACAGTATTGATTAAACAACAGCTGTAGGTCTGACATATATTCTACTTGCACATAGTGATTAATTTTCGTTATTAAACTACAGAACTTCAGATGGAGTAATATAAATTTTAGTATTTCTAGCAGTTTAATCACCTCCACAAGCTTTCAACAGAATCTTATTAGCTATGTTTACAAAATTTAAAATATGCCCTAGTAAATAATTAGTCGACTTTGAGATTTACGCTGTGACTGCAACTTGTTTCATTAACCGATCTAAAAATAATTGCTGCCAGACATTTAAATTTTGGATGGTATCAAGCTTCTTTGAGAGTTACGCTGTGATTACAATGTGTTTAACTTGTATAACTCACTGACATCAGATTAGACACTTCATTCAATCACGTAACATTCGAACATAAATCCATTAACTAATTGCTCATAAATGGATTAACTAATTGTTTATGACGCCTGTTATTAGTTCCCCGTTTGTATATTTGGTTTGCTGTGTACACCTAGAATGTTATTTTGGCTGTGCGGCTGTTTGATGGTACCCATGTTAAGTTTCCGTCCCTAAACTCTCATATTAGTTTCTTATGTTCTTGAACTTAATTTTGTGTTGCATGAGTTGTCCTTCCATCAAATCGTCTTATTTTCCGTCAAATTTAACGGTGTAATGGTCTACATACAAAACAAAAATATAATTTATTTGAAAAAGAGAAGACCTGACTCCTTAATACTATGGAGGAGTTCCTCCTCAAAATACTTCGTGGTCTATTCACAGATTTCGTGTTTACGATCAGAACCGTTCATGTTATAAATCAATTTGCAAAAAAATAATTAAAACTAAGATCATTTAGTCAATAAAGAAGTTGTCGATCATAAACACGAAGTTCTGTAAATAGATTACGAGCTATTTTAAAGAGGAATTCATCCTCAATCCTTGAGAAGCCAACTCTTTCTCTTAAAAAAATTCTATCTTCTTACTTTTTGGATGATATTTCTATTTTATTCCTCAGCTTGACTAGAAAAGTTAACGGAGTTAACGAAAAGAACTACTAGTAACATAATTTGAGGACGAGAGACTATTAGTAGAGTTCAAAGATGAAAACTAAACCCGTGGTATAGATCAGAGACT